TTTAAAATATTACATGGTAAAAACAGAGGCTTTACTTCATATTAGTGTCAAACTTTGGTGCTTTTTGATGAATTACTTTAATTTTTGCTTCTACTTTTAATTTAAAATAAGTTTCAATTCTCAGCAGGTTTCTAAGGTTCTTCTACATATTAAAAAAGTTGTTAAACATCTGAGTGGTGCACTACTGCTACTAGTGGTGAGAAAGTGCATTGCACCTTATTCAAAATCAGTGCGGTCCCGTGGCCCTCTGCGGCCCAAAGTTAAAAACTGTTGTTCTTTTGAGGCCCTCAAGGTGGCGCTCAGGTTAAGAATTTAAGAGTCCAGCTGTGTGACACGGTGGTGTTTTCAGGCTGAATCTGCCTTCATGGTGGCCAGAGGAATTGTACGTGAGGCTCACGAGAGCCTGGAGGCCCTGCAGGGTCGGCTGAAAGAGGTCCGAGACCGTCTGGACCGAGTCTCCAGGGAGGAGGCTCACTACCTGGAGCTGGCCACGATGGAGCACAAGCTGCTGCAGGTGAGCGGAGCGGCGTSGATCAGCAGAGTTTTTCTGTCTTTAAAGGAACTCTTCACGTCTCTCGTCTCGACCGCAGGAGGAGCGCCGCCTCCGCACGGCGTACGAGAACGCGGAGAGCTCAGAGCGCGAGAAGTTCTCCTTGTTCTCGGCGGCTGTCAGGGAGAGCCACGAGAAGGAGAGGACGAGGGCGGAGCGCACCAAGAACTGGTCCGTCATCGGCTCGGTGCTGGGAGCCCTGATCGGCGTCATGGGGTCGACGTACATCAACCGCGTCCGCCTGCAGGAGCTGAAGAGTCTGCTGCTGGAGGCGCAGAAGGGTCCGGAGAGCCTGCAGGAGGCCCTGAAAGTCCAGGCCGGGAACCACCGCTCGCAGCAGGACGAGCTGCGGCTCCTGATCGACAGCCTCAGGCTYGCGCTGACTCAGGGCTTTTCGATGCGAAGCGGCCCTCAGGAGGAAGGACCGACCCCGCCTCTGTCTGCCTTAAAGGACCTCCAGAAGACCCCGTCCATCCTGGAGTCCCTGCCCCCGCAGCTGGGCCAGCTGGGACGAGGCCTCGGCAGGGTGGAGGACCAGCTGTTAGCGGTCAGGAAGCTGCTGGAGAACAAACCGCTGACGGAAGCACGGGCCGTGCCGCCGCCGCCGCCTGAGGGTCCAGGGACAGACCAGTCTGAGACAGTGGTCAGGAGTCTGGAGGACACCAGGAGGACGCTGGGAGAACAGATCAGGACAAACACGGTTTATAACGCCGTGTTCGCCTACACCGCCGCCGCAATCAGCGTCTCCGCTGTGTACCTGCTGCTCAGAGGGACGGGCTAGAGTCGCCATGTTTGGACTCTTTGTGTCGCTTCAGGAGATTAAAGGAGCGAACGCTGAAAACTGAGCTTCATTAACGCCGATTTTTAAATTCAATTCACTTCAAAAATTTTGTTCATTTCAGAATAAAAAACAAAGAAAACCGTTACAATAATACACAAATTATATCTTAGAAAAAAAAGAAAGGCAGAAGAAGAAGAAGAAAAATCTTATGTCTGCTCCTTTTGTTCTCAAATATGGTTTCACTTTAAAGTGTGATTTACAATTAAACAATACAATTCAGAATAATAAATAAAGAAAACTTCGTTACAATAAAACACAAATTATATGTTAAAAAAATGCAAAATGAAAGGCAGCAGAAGAAGAAAAATCTTATGTCTGCTCCTTTTGTTCTCAAATATGTTTTCACTTTAAAGTGTGATTTACAATTAAAAATACTAATTAAGATTAAAAAATAATAATAATAAACAAATGAAACAGCAAATTCTATCAAAGTCAAAACTAATTAAAGTTATGAAATAAAAATCTATCAAATAAAACAATACGTTCTATCGATTCAGACTATAC